CCTTAACAAAAATTCCTCGAATTCTTCTTCCTTGAAGCGGTCGAGATAGGACCACAGGCTCTCGCCATGTCGTTCTCGGACAACCATGAGTGAGATGACGCTCTTCTAGCATCGTTGGCTACTGATAAAGTGGGTGAGGAAGAGGTTGGAAAATTGGTCCCATGAGCTGATGGAGCAAGGCGGGAGCCCGAAAAACCAACATTGAGCAGACCTGTTTATGGGTCGGGTCGGGTCGGGTCGGGTCGGGTCGGGTTCAGGTCGGGCTTTCACTCTGTATTAACAGATTTTTCTAAGGCCCGAGCCCAAGCCCGGCCCGACCATCGGGCCTACAACTTGGGCCCGAGCTCGGCCCTCATAAAAAGCCCAAAGAGCCCGGCTCTCATAAAAAACCCCGGGCCTAGGCCCGAGCCCGAAATTTAGCCCATGTTGTTACTACTACTGAAGTGGCTGAATAGAGAGAGAGAGAGTGAGAGAGAAATTATAAAGAAAAATAAAAAAATGTATAAATTAAATTATAATTATATATATATATATATTTCAATAAATATTATATTATTTATATATTTTATATAATATATGAAATACATATTATGTATTTTATAAAATATATAAGTCTAAATAGGGTCGGGCTGGGCTCGGTCTAGGCTTTTTGGACAAATCCCGAGCCCGGCCCGTAACACAGGCGGGCTTACTGTGTTAGACCCGAGGTCAGGCCCGCGGGCGTAATTACATGACCAAGCCCGACAGGGGTGCGGGCCGGGCCATCGGGCTACCTGGCCCATGAACAGGTCTAGCGTTGAGCTACCCCCTTGAAGGTCGCCTGGAAGGCTTAGCACATCAATGTATCGGAATACCCGTATAGGAGCATGAGTGCCCAGAAGCTCTCTAAGTGTTCGTTTGGGTCTGAGGTGCCATCGTAAGTCTCCAGTGTTGGAGCCTTGAAGTGATATGGAAGAGGTTCCGAGGTGATGGCAGCGGTGAAGGCGTCCATCCTGGTGGAAGGATACTGACTTGCCAAGGTATCACCTCGACTCTCCTTGACTTGCTGAATTTTGTCCTTCATCGCGCCGAGTTGTGCTTATAGTTCGGCAATCTGCTAGCCGACGAGTACCTCAGCTTCGTCCTGGTCTCCTCGGTAGTGGGACGAGCTGGCTGCATCTTGGTTCCCTTTGGCCCGTCGGTTGTCAAGGTAGTCTTGGAGGTCCGATGTGTAAGGTGGAGGTGGCGTACCTCATTGGTTGCAAGACTATGCTGATTCATTCTCCCATCGGCTGAGTGGTTGGAGGGTTCTTGGCGGCTGACTCACACTTCGGCCACTTCCACCAGACATTGAGGGGCCGGCCCGGTAAGGACCGATAGGGCGCTTTGCCGGTAGAGCCCGTGAAGCGCATCCGCAGCGATGCCCTAGGTCTCTAGTGGGGCGGCCTCCTACCGGTTGCCCCACCTTGTCCAACCTCAGGTCGAGGACTGTCTAGAGTTGGTCCTTGGTGACCAAGTTTTGTGTAGTTCTCTCGTTTCTAGCCATTTTGTTGGAAGCTTAGTTGTAGTGCAGGGGAGAAGGCTCAATACTCAAGTTCCCACATACGACGCCAATTGTTGATGCTCGGATTGGCAGAGACAACACAGAAAATTTGCTTAGATTCCTGGAAGGGCTGGCTAGTAGATGGCTCCAAGGGCGTGCTGAGGCCGAGGGCTAGAGGAGCCCGAAGTGCACTAAGGCCAAGGGTCAATGAAGTCTGCCTGAGGTCGGTTGAGGTTGAGTACCTACAAGAAAGGGAACGTCAAAGGCCCCGGGTGATAACCCAAGGCGGGGACTCCGACAGTCAAGATAGTGAGGGCGTAGCAAAGTGGGCAGACAAGGTCTGAGGAGCTAGGGCGAGGTCGCCCGAGAGCTCAAGAGCAAGAAAGTTTGGAGAGATGAAAGTCTGGTGGGCAGAGAGAGACCCCTTACCTTGGGGGTGGCACGCCCTATTTATACTTGAGGTCGCCTGATAGTAGACGCATGCGGATGGTCAGGATGTGATCCGGCCTTGACAGGGCGATCACCCGAGCTCGCCGCATGTAGTCACGCCATTGGTCCCTCACTGGGCGCCGACCTCTGCCCTGCCAGACGCATTGATTAGCTCTGTGTTGTTCCATGTGTCAACATGTCGTAGGCCTGCCGAAAGTGCCTACATCACTACCTATGTTGTTATTCTAGAGTTTTATTATTGTAAATGATGAACAAAAATTAATGTTTAACCAAACATGACCTAAATAGCATGCAACAAAAGTAATTAGAAATTATTATAATACTCTCTTCCATGCTTATAATTTATAGAGTTGAGACTTCAGCTTCCTATGGTAGGAAAAATAGTTGGATCAGGACAAGATTCATTTATTTGAGATTAAGAGAGTCTAACAGTGAGAATGCTCTAAAAAACCTTCCTTGAAGTTTTTGCTAATTGTAATCACCCCGCTTGAACTTACAGACATAGTTTCAAGTAGACCTCATCTGTTAGAATGCTCTAAAAAAGAGGCACGAAATGTCCAAAATACCCATGCAGTTAGCTTTGTAGTTGTGTATAGAAAAAAAAAATATAAAAGTAAATCTAAAGAAAAATTAACTATTCGAAATTAATTAAAAAGAAATTAATTTGTTGAATTGAATAGGTAGTTGTACAAATTAACAAAATAGTTTCCAACGTCAAAATAGAAATGGAATTCAAAAATTATAAAATTAAAAATAAAATAGTAAGATAAAAAATACAAAATATGATGAGGATGGGAATGGAGATACCCTTGATGTATAGCTCAATGAAACAAAAATAAAGTAACATAGGAGACAACAACATCTATAAAAAATTTTACATTTGATGCGTCCACAGCCTAGACGACAGAGTATAGTTTGCAATTTGCATTTCTGGAGAAAATTTTGTAGAGCTTCATAGTGATCTCTTGATGTTTTTTCAAACTAGAATAAAAATTAAAATTATTTATCTTTCATTTCAGGCACAATTTATATGAATGGTCGATTCTTTAAGTTAAAATGGTTGGTTCTTCAACTTAATGGGCATCGAGGTCGAGTCAGATGTAAAATCACCTAAAGGTAGTGATTGACAAATTGACAAGCTATTCGGTTGTGTTTGGTTTAAGGAAAAAAAGTAGGGAAAGGTAGGAAAACATTTACAAACTTTGTATAAATTTTTCTACCTTCCACTACTTTTTCCTTCAAACCAAACATAACCTTGTCAATAAGCTTCTACAAATTCTCGCCCATATGAACTGTGAGTCAATCGTCATATTGGACATGTTGAACTTTGACACCACCCTGGTCCCTGGCTTTTGAAAGTGTGATCTTCCGTTTTGCCCAAAGAGAGACAAATGTGGCGGCCCATTGTTGGGCCGAATACACCTTCACTACATCACATTGAGAGCTAACTCTTTTTTTTTTTTTTTTTTTTTAACACAATGCGATTGACAAAAATGGTTGAATTTTGAAATCGTCGGGGAGGGGGATCCAATCCATGTGATTAATACTCACGCTTTGTCAGAGAGGGTCAAAAGGTTCTAAAGATATTTAAGAGAAAATGAGGGAGGATCCAATCCATTGGGCATTCCTGTTTTAAACACTTATCTCATTTTTTTGCACTTATAATCTAAGTGTTCACAAAAACATTCAACCATTAATTATTGAAAAGAGATAAGTCCGAATGCCAAATGCAACTTTAATGGGGGCAGGGAGATGTCAAATACATTAATTATTGAAAAGAAAGAGAGAGAGAGGAAGAAAGAGAGAGATGTATGACTGATTTTATCAACAAAGAATTATAATAAATTGAAGGTTCACAATATCGATATGCCGAATACACTGGCATGGGCACATCGGGTGAATCAATACAGCTTTTTAGTGTTTTTTATTTATTTATTTTGCAACTGGTTCAGAGGAGCCAGTTTAGGCCTCCTCCACACACTGAACAGGTCAGACCCCAGTACACCCGCTGTAGGGATATATCGGAGAGGTCCCGGAACGATATTGATTTCTAAAACCCCAATTGAGATCACAAGATATTAGAAGAGGGAGGAGAAAGGAAAATTAACAAAATGTCTCAGGGAAGGGTGAATGCACTGCCCCAATTAACATATGTAAGGACTAAACTGCCCTTAACAGTGACAAATATAAACTTCTCAAAATTACTCAATCTGCAAATCAGGTTAAAATCTTTGGCGACCGTCAAAGAAATCTACAAGGCCAACCTTCCAACACATGAAGACAACTGCTTATTTTAACTATATTTGTTTGAATATCAAAACAGTACCCCATAAAATAACATTGCAAGATATTTTGCAATTAGGGCTCAGTTTGGGAAGAGTGGCTTAGGCTCAGTTTGAAGGAGTACAAATGCAAATATGTAGAGTGCAAAACCTTATATTTTGTATTATTTTGTATGTAAATCTTATATTTTGTATGTATTTGCACTGTATATATTTGCTTTTGTACTCTTTCCAAACTGAGCCTTAGTGAAAATACAGGTTTAGAAATACTCACTTTGAAATGAGTACAAATACATACAGAATAATACAAATACAAGGTTTTGCACTCTACATATTTTTATTTATAATCCTTCCAAACTGAGATTAAATGAACCAAATCATCATTTACACTCCTCCAAACTATGTACCCATTCTATAACAGAGTTCTTGGCTTGTTGCTAGCAAATTTTGATTCGATATATGTAAACAGGGATCGACTATGATACCGAAAAGGTGAAAAAAAAACCTGTAACCAATCAGCTGTTATCATAATTGATTGGCCAAAGTCCTTTTGGTATCATGTCTTTCCAGCAGCATAGATAATTGCAACATAGGTGATAATCCAAACTTTATTAATCTACTTCACTAGGCAAGTTGTGCCAATCTGCACCTCTCTCTTGCCATGGCAAGCTACTTATCAGATGAATGATTTGCATTAGCAAATTATACACCCAGTGGAAATTTGAAATTCTGCTCAAACCCAACAGTAAAGAAACTTACCTGCTTGTGCTCTTGAAAACCATTTTACCTATTTTACATTAGCCAAAGAAATGTCAAAAATTAGGCACAGATCCAGTGCGCCACTCCCAAGATCCCAGATGGTCGGGCCAACTATTTTGATCCTCTCTACCTTTTAACAGTCCATATCTTTTTCCATAAGAACAAGACAATGTCACTTTACTACTGACCAACTTATTTAGACAAACTATAAAATAAACAGAATATGGGTGTTTTGGGGGAATCAAATACACTGGAATGGATATGCTTGCATCAGCAACAGACAAAGAATTTAATTGATTAAGCTTTGGAGATCAAAGCTAATCAATTTATGAAGCCACACACAACAACACACATGCAGGACTGCTCTGCTCAGCGAGGAAGACTGTTTGGAGGAAAATTGCGTAATGGATTTTCTTTCAACAGTTCTGTTTCCCTGCACAAAACAATAATAGAGGGATAAGAAGACACTAAACTAATAGATAGTTTCATGTATACATCAGATGCAGTAATAGATATGGCCTACTTCATAAGGTTTTGACTATCCCCTTGCCTAAGATGCAACATTGAAGACTTTCCACATTCATTAGCCTTCTTCTGCACTCTGCTCAACAAAACAGTGATAATAAAAAATTAACAGAGCAATCATTAGCACAAGCTCTAAATGGCATTCACTCACCATATTCCATAGATCAACAAAACAATAATTTTTTTCCATTTCGAAGAGTCTGCTAGTTTTATGGCTAGGAACTTCAAGTCATTTTACACCCAATCCAAGAATTAGGTCATCGATATAAGGAAATCCAGAATGTGCTTCACATATTGTAGAGCCCCACAAGAAAGGGACATCAATATCATCCACCTAGGATGCATCCCAATGGAACAAATAACCTGATTGAATGATCCCAACTATTACAACCACTTAGTGGTTCATCCTTTATATGCTGTGGTGGAAAAACCTAGAAATAGTATTACAATAATGAACCATGTTCAAGAACCCACAAGTAAGCAATTCTAGAGTGATGGTTCTAACCATGGAGTCAAATTTATTTAATAGCATATAACTGAATTGCTATTGCACAGTATATGAAAATACACTTCCTTATTAGATGCCTTAAAGTGCTGAATTACTTTTTTTGTGTATCTTCTGAAGTATGCCTTAAAGTGCACAATTACTTTTTTTTATATCTTCTGAAGGGCTACACAACGGTAGGTAGCCCATCCCCAACCCAGGTGCAGGCAGGATTTGATCCCAAGTCTCCGCTAGGACCAACAGGGGACCTTACCAACCAGCTGTTGGCACCTTGTTAAAGTGCTGAATTACATCACATTCCTCATAGACAAATACCTCAATACAAGCAATTCTAGAGTGATGGTTCTAACCATGGAGTTCAGTTTACTTGATAAAGCATGGCATATAACTTAATTCCCATTGCACAGTATATGCATATATACTTCCTTATTAGACGCCTTAAAGTGGTGAATTACATACTTTGCACATTCCTCATAGACAAATACTTCAATACAAGCAATTCTAGAGTGATGGTTCTAAACAGCGAGTCCAATTTATTTAATAAAGCATGGCATATAACTTCATACCCAATGCACAGTATATGCATATATACTTCCTTATTAGATGCCTTAAAGTGCTGAATTACTTACTCTGCACATTCCTCATCGACAAATACCTCAATACAAGCACTGGCATTTGCTGCTCCAGTTCTATACACCGGCCTCTGTGGAATCTGAAAGAAGGGAAATCTGATTAAATTGGAAGCTAGCAGGTTCATAAGCTAGTTGAATTATGTCCAACTTTATAGACAGTGCATGTAAATGTTAAACAAACTGTGGTTTGAAAACAAATTGGAACCTTATTTGATGACCATTTTCTAGGGATTGCAGTATTTTCTTTGTTCCTCTCTGCCCGAGTTCCAAGAGTATACCAAGATCTAATGTCAGTCTTTGGTAATTCTGGCTGATTACTCTGTGCTGGACCATCATTTTTATCTTTATAGATGGAAAGTGGAGCACTATGAGCCCTACAGAAATGGAGTAACAAAATCAATATTTATAACCAAACAGATCAATAGGAGTTGCTTTTAAAAACAGTATAATGTTATAAATACACTATATAATTTGTATAAGCTTGAAGTTTCAAGGTTTTTAAGCTAAGGAAAAAAATTACAAGGTCACTTCAGGTGCAATAGAAACATGATGGAGAGAGATAGATTATTGAATGAAAATGGATTATAAAGCTGGAGAATAGAAAAAGGTGATGATACTTGTGTACTTTACTAGATTTCAAGGTTTAAAGCCAAGGAAAAAAATTACAAGGTCACTTCAGGTGGGAGCAAAGATGAGAGCAAATAGAAACATGATGGAGAGAGATAGATTATTGAATGGGAAAATGGGTTATAAAGCGGGAGAATAGAAAAAGGTGATGATACTTATGTACTTTACTAGATTTCAATAGATTGGACTGCAAGAAGACTCACAGATTGTTATCAATTGGATGAGTGGAGAGGAGGATCTGTAGGAAATGTGACACTTTATAAGAGAAGCTTTTGATTCTATGGGAGAAAGTAGCATGCTCTGGAGTAGACAGAGCAGAATTACATTGGTTGGACTCAATTACGTAGGAACAGGGCATGATGTAATGTCATGTGTTTATTGGTTAATGATAGGGTAGTCTTCTATGAGGAATTGGATTTAGCCTAAATCTTGGACATTATTCTTTTCTATTCATCTTTTTTCTCCTTAATTTGTTGATGACTACATTGAAATCTCAATAACAAAATGGAGAAATATTAATTCATTACATAAGCAAATGATTCTATGGGAGAGACATCAGATTTTACAGTTGCAATGGGTCTTCACCCACTTAACCCTTATTTATTTGCATTGATCATAGATGAATTGATTAAACACACTTAGGAGGAAACTAATGAAGGATTAAATGCAAAATTTAGTTCATGGAAAAATACCTTAGAAACAATAGGTTTTAAAACAAGCAGAACTAAAACAAAATATATGCTATGTTAATTTAATAATAATAGGAGTGTAAATCAAGGTACACTTAAGATTGGAAACTAAGGTATAACTCAATATAGAGTTCATGTATGAAAGTTCATAACAAGGGCGAGATTGAGGAGGATGTCACCCATAGAACTAGAGAAAGTTGAAGTGGCTAGAAGGGTAGGGGTAGACCAAAAAGGACATGAGTCAAAGGAGCAAGAAATGATTTGACCACTCATAATTTAACAATGGATATGGCATTAAAGAAAACGGGATGGAAAAATATAGAGTTCATGTAGCCAACACCATATAACTTGGATAAGGCTTGGATAATGGAAAAAAATTTATATGCCATACATGGATACTAACATTTTTCTTCCCTAAGTTAAGCTTAACATTTATACCATCAGCTTTGCATTAGCAGGGATTCATACTCATAGAAAAACATGATTCCAGGTTGAAGAAATGGAAACCCCAAAGGGTAAATTGTACTGCAAAAACAACCTAAGCTCCAACCATGTAGAAGAGAAAAACTGTTTGGTACCTATCTAGTTTCAACTTCTTTCTAGCAAGATCAGAACTTTCTGCTGTATGTTTTCCTGCCATAATTGAAACAGCATTAGGAGTCATTAGTACATACAGTTGCAAGAGAATTTTAACAGTGAAAATAACAGTGCTAATAATACTTACTAGCTTCACCCCTAGCCAAGACTGTGCCAAAGCTCCTAACTGGCAAGTAATTTTCTGTTGGGTCCTCCTAAAAAGAAATTAAGCAATACATGATTAATTAGTTAAAGAATGAGAAAGGAATGGGATAATCATAAAATTACTCTAGCATCATGTTCATACGTCAGCAGTTCGTGGTTTTCTCATTGAGCATGAAAGAAACTTCTTGTAAGCACCTTCTAGTTTTTCCATAGGTTGTACCTTCCTGATACATAAAGAGAAGGAGAAAACCAGAAATTCATGAATTCATGACAGAACCAACACAGAATCTACAAGAACACTGGGAAAAGGTCAAAACCATAGAAAAACAGGTTGAAAGGTAGAATATTTGCTTCAATTATCCCAGGCAGCTAGATCCCTTGGACTTCCATAGTCTAGTTTAGTATTTGATTCAATCATTCAAGTAGTTCTACATTTTTATCAACTTCCCCCACTAATCCATGCATTCCTATATAGAAGCGCTAACTGAACATTGGATAAGTTAGTTATTTAATTCTGAACAATGGATGGAATCACAACAGAAACTGCACCAGGAAACCCATCCTAACTAAATGAAAATTTTAGACAGAAAGCTCACCTAGCTATTCCTAGACTGAAAATGTCGTTTGCACTTTTCAACTTGTTCTTGGATTCCATGTGCGTAGCATATGAAATGTAATACACAGCATGTGTCTGACCAATTTTGTTTGCATGAAGAAAATTGTATATAATCTCAGCATCAGCACAATTTTCTGCCTACAATGCCAATTTAAGGGAGAAAAAGCAACTCTTAGAAACACAGAGAATATCATAAGACGCAACTGTGCACTAATAACAGCTAAACCATGCAAAATCAAGGTTAAGATGATAAATGGGAACCCACATATTCTAACCAAACTCTGAGGTAGCGGAGATCGTCCTTGTAGCGATCGGTGTGCCAAAACGTACGCACACATTGTTCATAAATCACAACCAGCCCCGAGCAATCCCCACCAGAGGGGAAGGATTCCTGGACCCATTTGATGCACCTAACAGCCAAAATAAAGAATTTAGCCGTTTGAGTAGATATGACACTGCTCTACATTAAATCAGAAGTGGAAGTACTCAATAAGGCCAAAAGTCTAAAGGAAGCCATTGATAAGAAACATTTGGCGCATATTGTGATCTACTAAAAGAACGCAATCTTAATTGACTGAAAATTAAACCGATTACCACCATAAATATATAAGGAAAATTACATAAAGAAAGTTGCGTTTTATTTTTTTTTTATTTTTTCCCTAAAAGACCCACGCAGTAGAACTGCAAAACCTCGAAACGGCATCATATAAAGAAAATCAAATGAAATAGTTCGGGCCAAAAAGTTATTAAAAAAACTGCAATAAATCAAAGACATGATACCGGAAAAACTTATAACCAATCAACCGGAATCATAAGCAATCAGGTGGGTTTTCATTCACAGGGGGTTTTGATTGGTCAAAGCCTTTCCGGTATCATGTCTTTCCGGCATCATAAATTTTCCCAATATAAATACAATCTTTCGACCATCTCAAATCAGATGGCCAGGTTTCCAACTAACAAATAAAGAAAAAACAGATAAAAAACTGAACTACTTACTCAAGCCACGGTTGGAGAGGATCCTCTCCTTCGTATTTATCAATCGCCTCAATCAACTTCCTAAGCGCATAAGAAGGAAAAAAATAAAAAATGAGGAAAAAAAAAAGACTACTTAGAACAAAGAGACTCGATGCTGCTAAAGAACAAATAATTGTGACTCCTACAGGAATAGTAGACAACAGTATTCTATACCTTCGATTCTCAACGAGGGATTTCCTAAGTTGATTATCCGTCTGGGATTTGAGAGCCTCATTTAACAGGCGAATGTTTCGGCCTCTCTTCAAAGGCCTGACATTCTCTTTGAAAAGTTCCCACTCGTTTCCCGTCTGCTGATTTGAGGCAAGAAATTCAGTTTCTGGATCCAGGGTATGAAAATCTGCCATTGATATTCTGCGGTTGGAGTGGCAGAAACTAGTAGCGAATGTAGAAGGGCAGAGAGAGAGAGAGAGTATCGTTTTGAAATTTCAAATTTCAAATTTAGCAGCTAGTTACTAACATCCGTTGGGGTTCTTGGGGGACTTGAAATGAAGGGCTTCTATTACATATTTATTAGGGTAAATTGTTGAAACCTCCCTAAAGTTTATGGATTTTGCTAAACCTTTTCTAAAGTTTAGTAATTGCTATCACCTCCCCTAACCATACAGTTGCAAGTAGACTCTTAGTAAAATCTTCTAAAAAAAGGCATCAAAATGTCCAAAATACCAATGCACATACTATTGAGACTGGTTTTAAAGGAAACAACGATACAAACCTTATAAATAACAAAAACAAGTTGCAACTTTACCTTTTAGTGATTGATATGAAAGGCAAATTTGAAAAATAAACCAATTTTAGAAAAGAGATTGAAAGGATTTGAGGTAGTGATTCATATGAAGAGAAAATTTAGAAAATAAATATTTTTTTTTTTAAATTAATTATATGATATTTTGGACATTTTCATGTACTTTTTTAGAAAATTCTACCATAAGACTTGCAACTGTGTCAGAAAGTTTAGAGGAGGTAATTGCAATTATCAAAACTTCACAGGAGATTTCAATAATAACTAGAAACTTTAGGGGAGGTTTCTGCAATTTACCTTATTTATTACGAAATAATATAAAACATGTCAATGGGCTATGTCGTAATTGTTATTGCAATCAAAATAAATTTGGGTCCATGGGACTCATAAATGGGTAATAAGAAGTCTTTCTTTTTAGCTATGGGTCCAACTTGAAAACAAAAATCAGCAAAAACAATATTGTGTGGCAGTTTTTTTTTTCCTTTTGTTTTCAAAACCAAAACCATACACATTGTCAAATACCCCCCTTAGATGTATCATCTATCTTGTTTTTCAAAGTAACAAATAACTGCCACTATCCCCCCCATCTGTTAGTTGTTAGTTTTTTATATAGGCCATGTTCGTTTGGTGGTAAGTTATTTATCTGGGTAAATGGATTTATCTAGGAAAATGTTACTTGGATAAATACATTTATTCATGTTCTTTTGCTAGATGGGTAAGTGAGTGAATTTCCTAAAGGATCCCTAGTATTTTTTTTTTGTTGTTGTTCTAACAAGGACATTTTAGTCCTATCAATTTAGCCAATTTTTCCTCTTCATAAATAAATAATTTATCGTGTAAAACTTTCCCAAGTAAGTTGCCAAAAACTTACCTAGAAGAAAGTTTGGTTTCTATGGGACCCACACTTTACTAGTAAACAAACATGGAAAAGTGGGTCAACTTTCCCACTGACCAACCACTTCGGTCCCCAAAATAAATGGGCCTTAAGATCATTTACTAAAACACCCCTATAGTTTGCAATTGTTTTACTTTTTTTTGGTAAAATGCAACAAGTTTACTTAATCGACCTTTTATTAAGTTGCATTTAGTAAGAGTGCAGAAACAAATATGTTTAGGCTTCGTATGGAAAAAGAACAAATACAAATATATACGGTGCATTTCTGGTCCATGCAAATGCAAAGTTGGTTTAGTTTTCAATTTATAAATTTAGTTGTAAATTTGTAATGAGTGCGCGCAAACATGAATTCCTAGATTGGAAGCTACCTTTTTTTTTTTTTTTGCATTTACCAACTTTGAGTGAAAAATTTACATCCATTTTTTTTTGTATGCAAACTTTGCTATCATTTTTGAAGCAAACATGTTTTGAAATTTGTGAAAACTATCACTATGGGTACATAAATGCATTCTTACCAAACACCAACAAAGCTGAACCAAGTGCATATATGCATTAAATAAGTTTTTGGGTTCTTAAAAAATGGAGCTTTAGTGTAAATGCAAATATGAATGGCATGAAAATGCAAACTTAGTTTACATTTGTGTAGATAAATTTCATATTCTTACCAAATAGTTTCAATTATGATGGATGCAAACACAAATTTCAATATTGAGATCCACCTTTTTCACATTGACCAATTTTGAGTGCACAATTTGCATCCATTTTGAAATTCAAGTGTGCCTTGGGAATTGGTGATTGATGTAAATTTTTATGCACAAATGCATTCTTACCAGATGCCACCAAAGCACAAATTGGCTTTGTTCAACATTTGCACTCTTACCAGACACATCTGTATGCCATCTAAAAATAAAAATGGTCATCTGACCACCTAAACCAATTAGGAAATGTTTAAGAGCAATGACCATGGTTGTTTATTACAAAATTAACCTAGCACTTTTTATCAAACTTTTAGAAAGAAAACCCTCCCCCATAATAGAACTTAGTTGGAAAAGTCATTGGGTGCATGAGATTAAGGCTTCAGACCTATTCGTTTCCTCTTAACTCTTATCTCTTAAGAGGAATTTTACAATTTTAAGAGGAAAATGAATATTCATTTCCTCTTATCTATTTTCTCTTAAAGATGAATCTTACAATTTTTTGTTTTTCAATGATACCCCCAAAACACAAACAAAAATTCTCATATATGGGGTAAAATGGACATTTGACAATTTTTAAAATTTAGAACAACATTCTTTGCATTCAAAGTTTAGAGGAAATAAAAGTTCACCAATACCAATATACATCTTAATGTAATTATTGCACTTTCATATGTCAGACGTTAGAGCAAACGAACAGGCCTCATATTTCACAAATGTACCATTTTATAAGCCTCGTATTTTGTCCAATTTAATAGATATAAAAGTATAAATAACGTACACCTTAATTTAGGATGAAAAAAAATGTGTCAATCATAGTTATTATATCCTTCATGTGATCCATGTTTATAGGGTACAATTGGCTTACAACAATTAGAGTTGTAACCTCATTATAAGTCACACATCCTCATCTTTTTGTTGATGTGTTAAGACTTAAGAGAGTTTGACCATGTTTCAATAGGGGCAAGAATGACATTTCCATTTTTATATCCTCTTAATTAAATTTGTTCTAATGAATGTTGGGGTCAAAATTTTTGTCTAACACAAGTTAAATAAATTGGTTGCAAACTATAGGGTGGTTTAGTAAAATGAATAGGATAGGTTTAGTATATATGTGAAACTATAGGGTTGCAAACTATACTTAGGTTTCCCTACCTTTTCTTTTAAACCAAACACAACCTTTGTGTTTGAAGATGTGTGGTACTTTATTTTCTTTAAAGAACCCACACCGAAATTTCTTTGGTTGAAGATCCTCGTCTAGTTGAAGATCCCCTTTTTTTTAGCAAAAGTGCTTATGTCTACAAAGATCCCTCTCTTGAGTGGTAGAAATATTTAAAGAGGCACGTGATGTCAAATGAAAATGGAAGGTGACCAACCACCAAGGGAGGGGTAACATTTATTAAAAAAACATAGGGATAATTTAAGTAATTTCCCATAAAAATAAAGTCAACACATTTGAAACACTTACATGGTGTTGGCACCAGAGCATTTCGCAAGTGTTCTATTTTTGATGATGTGTGCCACATCAGCAATTAAATGGAATTGACAAGAGAAATCGCATTTGACAATATTGTATTTTAGAAAAATATTTTTGTAATGATTAGTTTTGGAATTTGGGAAAGGAGGGGTTTTTTGAAATGTCAAATTTACGTTTCTTGAATCTCAATGACATGACACATTGAAATTTGAAAAGATGATTATTTTTCTGAGATATCACACAATTGTCATTATAAATATATTATAATATTAAGTCAAATCACTTTAAATGCCCAATCAGTTTGCATCTTGATTTTATTGTGCTTTGCCAAAAAAAAAAGTAAAATGAAACACTTGTATTTCAGACCCACTTGTAAAACATAACGTTTATGAAACGTTTTGGTGACAAAACACTTACTTAGTATGCATCTCCACCAAACCAAACAAGTTTTTTTATGTACTTTTGAAAAACAAAGAAAGTGGTATATCACTCTTGATTCTTGGTTAACGGGAATACTCGTGAAATGCTTCAGTGCCATAATTGGTTGTGTTTGGTACAATTGTCATTTTAAAATCTAAAACATTTAAAGAGGAAATTCCATTTCACGCTAAAATGCCAATATAGACATTTTTTACAATAAAACTTTGCTTGGTTGGTACTTAATCAAACTGCAAGGAGAATTTGGTACCAAGCATTAGTCCCCATGCATGATTAAGGTATCCTTGCCAAACAATTCTTCTAATTAGGCAAAGGGTGTCAGCAAAGCAAGTAAGTATTCTTTGTCATCTTCTAGATTATACATTAATTGCTTAATAAGTAAATTACGATTGTTCGACAGAGTGGAATAAAAAGAATATTGTGTTGAAGAGGTAACTAGTGGTTTGTAAAAACTTATGATAAATTCCCATCTATATATATATATATTAAAATTGGTCCGTTCATGTTACATGTCTCTCATTTGAGAGAAGTTATTTATCTATTTTCTCTTTCTTTTGAATTTTTCATTTTTTAATTCCATGCCATTTTTGAAACAACCAATGAAATGCACTTTCCCAATAAACTAAATAATATTTTCTCATAAAATTTCTCCTAAACCACCTCCCCCACTATCCCTTACTTTCTCCAAATTTATCTCTAATTCCTATTTGTCTCCAAAATTATTTCTAATTTAGTAGGGAGTTTCTCTCTTAAATTCTCTCTAATTCCTATTTATCATCTCCCCCTACTTTTTATCTATATCTATCTAAAGAAAATTTGGATTAAAAAAATACGAATTATTTAAATATTCTAACAAAATTATATAATAACTTTAAAATATTTATTAAAAACATAAAAATTTATATTTTTACAAAATGTATCACGAAATTATGTATTAACAATTTAAATTATGCTTTTTATGGATTATCAATTTAAATGTTTTTCAAATATTTAATAATATGTAATAGCTTTAAATAAATAAAATTAAAATAACAAAAAAAATTATATTGTATAGATTATTTAAATTATAACTAGATTTTAAATAGTTAAAATAACGAAATTATGTAATAAATTTAAAAAAAAAATTCTTCAAATTAGAAAAATAATTATAACATAATATTCAAATTATTAATAACTTATTATATTAAAACAAGGAAGTCTAGAAATTTTCTCATTTTCTGAATTTTTTATTTTT